GTACACTGAAAGAATGGTTTTGCTAAAATATTTAAAAATGTTGCTAGATACAGACCTGAAAATAATTTTGTTGGACTATCAAAATAATTATGTAGACGCTCAAATTAATTGCTAGAATATCAAAACTTTTAAAACATTGTTCATCATACTTGAAATTCCTATGTTATTGTTTGGATGTTCTATCAAAGTTATTTTCAGACTTTTATGTAATTATGTAATTTTAGATATTTCAACAAAATCGTTCTTTCTGCAGAACTAGCTATATACATTGTTGAAGAGCACCCTAAATAGAAATCAAATCTATTGGCTATGTTATTAGGGAATTCGATTACTTGAATTACTCTAATGTAAAATCCATATTAGACTAGAAATTGAGGTTAATGATAAATTTGATTACTTGCACTACATTGAATTAGTACATATTGAGAATTATTTACTTTATATAAAGTATTTAAATGCAGTGGCATAATATATAAATTTTTGCCAATAAAATAATACAATCTTGTTGTTAAATAACGGAATAATAGGCATTTAATTTTTTTAAATATTTATATACTTTTACATTTAATTTTGCTAATCTGATGTAATAGTTTTTGCTTAGTCTGTACTAATCTAGTGTAATGCAAATGGCCTAATTTGTTATAAGATTGGATTGGAATTTAACCAATCAAAAGGAAGAAAATCAATCTCAGGTTTAGCTTTGTTTTAATTGCTTAAATTTCAAGCCAATCTCCAACTCTAGGATCTACTTAACGTTGCAAATGCTTTGAAACATTTTTTGATCAGTCAATTCGTAAAATTTTTTCTTTTGATTAATCAACGAAGAATTTACAGAGTTAACTGAATCGCATCCTTAGTCTACGGACATAAGATTACTTTAGACCTGTTCGTGTCACTTGAATTTTTTAGAAATTTTACACTTAAAACTCGGGAAGAGATACTTGTGTGTTGACTGTCGAGGAGTCGCGACGATTTTGTAAATAATTCAGTTAATTATCAATTAGCTGAAAACTAATCTCTCCGAGAGGGAGATTGCGATCTTTGGTTAATTGGTCTTTTTGAAGACAATGAGAAATTGCGAAACGTGTCATTCACATTTCCACATAATTATGATTTGCGTTTCCTGAAGATAAGAAAATAATCAAACGGTCTTATATAATAGAATATATAATTCATAACCTAAGAAATTATTCGCAATAATTATACGTCGCCGATTTCGAGTTATAATAGTGCCGGTATCACTGACATCGATATACTGCATACGGTTTTCCTACAAGTGTTTCTCCGACACCGGTTGTCCTTTCTCAGCGAGGTATAATAAACTGTTGCGTCACCGTGACTTAAAGAGATTCCCACCTCACTCGTACTAAATTCAGTTGCAGTTTGCCATATTCTGCAAAGTTAAATGTTTCTTTACTTGTAACAAGACATGCGTGTACAGACAATATCTTGGAGTGCTTGTAGAGAAAACAGCAATTAGACGTAAACGTTCACAGCGATGCTTGACAGCACTATTTTCAAAATGCATCGTCAGACGAATCCTTTTCGATCATACGGGACCGTTGCTTGAATCAACGGTTCTCTTGTCGATCAATATTCTGTATCGCTCGGTCGTGCTGCTTAGGTTCGTCGATCGAATCGACGAAAACGTCGAGACGCGGTGAAAATGGTACAAAGCGCATCGTCACTCGCATCGTTCGCAAGACTACGACTTTAACACGCGGCGAGGAACGTAGCGCTACCGAGGACCTCACCAAACGTGCTCATCCTAGATACTTGCAAGATGCTAGCTCGGCGACGATGACTGTAAGCCGGCACGTCCCAACGAAACCGAAAACTGTGCGGGTAAGCCGATCTTGCGTGGAAAATTCCATTCTGAACGATTCCATCTTTTATTATTATTGCCACTAATGTAGATTAACTTCAATCTTAGTTCAACTCACTCTTCATCTTTTTTCAATTCTAAGAGTTAAAGAAAAATGAAGCATATAAGTTGAACCGAGATTAAGTTAATCTACATTCGATGGAAACGGACATTACACGGAAAGAACAATGAAGAGATACTTCAACGATTGAAGTATTTTAAAATTTAATTAGATACGGATTTGAAAATGATTTTGTTTGAAATTTAAGTTATCAAATGATTTCTGTTAGTGATACTCACATTAGATTTTGAAAATAGACTTCCGCTGTTTAAAGAGCAAAAATTTTTATATTTTTGAGCGAATTTTATTTAAACAACAAAAACAGTTCTGCACAAACTTCATCTTATTTTAATAGCAATCTTATGACGGTAGTGAAAAGGTAAAAAATTATGCACTGATAGAAGGGATAATTATGTAGGACGTTGAAACTAGTTGCTAGAATATTAAAGTTATAGAATATAAAAGTTTTAGCAGCATTTAGCAGCATTGTCATCATCGCTTCTATACATATAAGATTACTTTAACGATCCAACAAATTATGTTCAAATCTGCATTTAACTAAATTTTTAAATACTTCAGCAAGATGAGACTATTCTCTCCGTAAATCATTAAAGCGCTGTCGTATTGAAGAAGATTAATATTGCGACAATTGATAGATCGAGCTATATATCATTGAAGAATCTCTTCGAAGACTGACAGATTTCTAGCGCATATGTTCATGGTTAAAGATAAGCTAAGCACAGTGATAGACATTTTAAGCAGCAGAGAGATTTACGTTGAAACTCATGGAAACGTCCGACTTAACTCTCGTCCGAAGGAAACGCTCTCTCTCCCATCGCAACGGATGCGTCGCCTTAATTAGGATTAATGAGTGGATAAGGTACTTGCTTCGGTCTCGTAGTTACCGTTTTATTTAATCCGCTATTTTGCCCCTGCAATTAATCCATGAAAGAGACAGTATTTTTCTCTCCCGTTCAAGCTGTGGTTCTGTTAATCGGCGACACGAAGAACGAAACTCTGCGAAAAAAGTGGTTTCTACTTATTTGTCGTTACCGCTTTCGACGTTACTCAAGCGTGACAGACGAGATTTACCAAAGAGACTGGAGCCGCATCATATATCGGTGATAATGTTTATTGAACGTATCTTCGTACTTTATCCAATATTTGATAAATCAAGTTACGTGACGATCAAAGGATTTATGCCTGAGTATCATCCTTGCAACCTGTTGCTGCAAATTGCGTAGACTGGGAAAACAGATGGTACAGCCGCGAGGATGGCTCATCACTAAATAACGCATATCTCGTACGCGCGAGCGCGAGAAAATCGCGTGATGACCCGAATACTAATGCCGGCTTTTATCAATGCCAATGGCAACGATCTCAAATGGTCGCGATCTCGATTTAAGTCTTGGTGCCAATGTCAAGTCCACTGCAAGTGGCATAATTTGTCTCTATTATTTGACTACTTGAGCGAGTTTGGTAGCCAGCCAGACGAATGAAGTGCTTCCATCGTTAAACGTCCAGGGGAGATGAAGTATGAAGTATCTCATAAATATCGCGGTTATGAGAATTGTTTCTGCATAATCATATAATTGGAGATCTTTTAAAATTTGACAAAGAAAAATAAGCGAAGATCATATTTGATCAAAGCACGTCTCAATGCATAATAATATTTTTTGTGTGAATTTTATCATTTTTAATTTAATTAAAAAAAAAATACGAGTAAGAGGGGGCTAAAAATAGGAGAAAAAAGCTTATCGGAATTTGCATCTTTAAACAGAAAAAGTTTGTGTGGTATTATTATTAAAATAATAATAATTTTCTGAATGATTTTATTCATAACAACTGTATCAATAGATAATTTTATGAGCTGATATTTTTACGTACATTAAAATTGACTTTTGGTTCAATGAACTTGACGTAAATGTAAAAGTACGTTAGGTAACAACAACACGTAATTTCTGATAATTCGAGTGTATGTAAGCCGGAAAATACAGGAAGAAGATCTTTACTGGAGCGATATAATATGTATCTATACACGAGATAAGATAATCCTTTATGACGTGGGAACGATTTCTTATCCCAAAATAGACAAGAAGACACATTTATGACGCAGCGTTCCATGTTTCTAGAATTATTTTGTTAATTAGTTGAATTGTACTACTGAAACAAAATTAGTGAATACTAAAGATTTAAAAAAAAAGGATAAAAAAGAATAAAAAAAAATTAAAATATAAATGCACTATCCGATACGGATTTTAGTGATGAACAATTTCATTTACAGACTCATTTTCAGTAATAAAAAATAAAAATCACTTTTTCGTGGTCTAGAAAAAAAGTTTAAATTTGTCTGACAAATTTGTTGACAATAATAATATTACTTTCGATATTATAATCGATATTCATATAATTGATAGTCGATTTTTATATAATATTTACAACTATTTTAAATAGATACAATATTAAGTTATCACGTTAAGTTAAACCAATCAAAGAGCTGTATTAGCATTTTAAGACATTACTTAAGACAGTCTTGAAATAAGAATAGATTATGAATACCGGTCTAAAATCGATTAATTCTGTGATCAATGTTCTCCCGGCGCCGACCGTTCAAAAGCAAAATGTCAATAGTTCTTGAAAGGTTGCAGCTTTCAGTTTCCATTAACGTTCAACCGAGAAAATAGAACTATGGAAAGTTGCAAATATGCATTACATAACGCGCACAATTTTAAGTTAAACTGGTATATAGTACTGATACATAGCTTTCAGATGTAGAAGTGTATATTCATCGAGTGTTACTAATTAAAGGTTTTAAAGACTATGCTATTCTTTAAGAATTTCCCGCTCTAGCTTGAATGATCATAGCGAACATAATACCGTAACTATTTCCGCTATTTGTTGCAAAGGCATCCGAAACGTCATATGAAATGATACATCGAAGGGCGAACCAGAATCTATTTCCATTATATTTGCTGCATATTTTAAAAAATATTTATTTTGTTATTATTATTTTGTTATTTTAAGAAAATATTATATATTTTCAAAAAAAATCTAATCTTATTCTCTTCTTTCTAGATATCGGACATAGTGGTCGGTCAGGAACCGAACGTAACAGCGCGTGAGGCCCTTTTGAGATGGGCTCGACGATCGACAGCCCGATATCCTGGAGTACGAGTGACCGATTTCACCTGTTCTTGGAGGGACGGTCTGGCTTTCAGTGCTCTTCTTCACAGGAATCGGCCGGATCTGGTCGATTGGAGAACGGCGCGTGCAAGCCAGCCGCGAGAGCGGCTCGATCGGGTCTTCTTCGTCGCCGAGCGCGAGTACGGCGTTACGAGGCTTCTCGATCCAGAAGGTAACGACCGATTATCGAGTTAGTTAAGCTCTAATTGTCTCAATAAAAAAATATATAAATAGAAATTAGACTGACGAGAGTAAATCAATTAATAGAATAATTATATATAATATTTTTGGTCAAAATAAAAAATCGTCAACTTGCAGTCGACTGATCGTTACCCTCATCATGATTTGTGCATCATGTAAATTCGAGGTAGAGAAATACTGTGATGTGTGTTTGTGTCACAAGTTTTTTTATCGTCGTTTTATCTTGGGCCACTTTTGCGGTTTCTCATCTTACAAAGACGTCTTTCACGGATATAGTCCTACCTGGATTTCTCTCGTTTATATATGCTCGGTGCATGATGTACAGTTCCCGCAGGTTCTGGCATTGTAACGATGTACGTTCTTTCTGGTCACGGTTACCTGACCAGAATCGCTTCCGGTCTCGATTCGTACACCGTAACGTCGCGCCATCGGTAGTCGTCGTAATTATGCTTTCTATACTTGCGTCTTGCAGGTATCTGACATTGGTATCAGGTTGCAAGGAAAAGCGAAATGTATCTGCGGATAATATGTCCATGATTCGATACGACTTGGATAGATTTTTACTGGATTTCTTCAGTAGAGATGGATAGATAACATATGGAGTTTTAATCTTTCTATCATTAATTTATTAGCGTTAATAATAAAATTACTCTTGTTTTTAAGTATTAAAAGATGATAAAATTGAGAATTATATATTTAACTCTTGATTATAGCAGTGGATCATTTGAAAGCGAAAGTTTTTGCATGACTGTACAATCTGTGATTAGTATTACAAGATTCTAAATCGTAGATAAAAAAATTTTGAACCTTCTTCTACCAATCGCCATAAGACTCATTTGCATTCCGAAGTTTACTTGCATTCTGTATTTACTTTTAAACAGCTTTAAAATTTATATGTACCTAATTTTCAACTTAGATATAGTTTTCATAGCTGTAATTGAGGGGATTAATAATTTTATTAAGAAAATTAAAAATAATTTATTACATGCATTGTGTGACTTTATGCAAAAATTCTTTTGTATCCTGTACAGATGTTGATACCCCTGAACCGGACGAGAAGTCCTTGATAACGTACATCTCTTCGCTCTATGACGTGTTCCCGGAGCCGCCGGCCATTCACCCTCTGTACGATGCCGAGGCACAAAGACGATCCGCGGAATATCGTGAGCTTGCGACTTCTCTTCATATGTGGATCCGCGAGAAGATGGCCCTCATGCAAGAGCGATCTTTCCCGCCGACTTTGATCGAGATGAAGAAACTAGCAGCGGATAGTACGAAGTTCAAAAATGAGGAGGTACCACCACGATACAGGGACAAACAAAGATTGACATACATTTTCCGAGATCTGCAAAAATATTTCGAAGCGGTGGGCGAAGTGGACATGGAACCAGAACTACATATTGATGTCATCGAAAAGAATTGGAATCGCCTAATAATGTTGCATCAGGAGCGCGAACAGGCTATTATAGACGAAATTAAACGGTGAGCTTAATTATTATAATATAAATATTATAATATTTATGTATATAAATAGTATGAAACGCATATGTCGCACATTTGTCTGATAGAAACGTAATATTATTTAAAAAAATTTTTTAAGATAATAGGAAAAATCAATTTTCTATTCTTTATTGAAAAAATGCACACAAAACATTTGTAACTCTTTCAATTTGCCGTTAGAGATATTATATGCATACTCATATATTTCTGAATGTGTCTTTGTACGTTGACAGACTCGAGCGACTGCAACGACTCGCCGAGAAAGTGCATCGTGAGATGAAAACGACTGACAACAGATTAGAGGAGCTCGAGAGACGTGTGGAGGACGAAGCACGCAGGCTCGATCGCCTTCATCCTTTGGAGGCGAAACACGCGGTGGACCTGCTAGAACAGGATATACGCAGCACAGAAACCCAGATACAGAATATATTTACCGATGTGCACACCCTTACGGAGGGTAGATACAGTCAGGCGCCTGAGCTTCATAAGAGGTAAAATATTGATTTTTATCCTCGGAATTATGTTGAATTAAAATTTCATATTCTACACTAAAAAAAATTACTAAATTTTAATAAATATTTGTTTGAATGGTACTAACTTATGATAAATAAATATTTATTAAATAAAAAATAATTAAATCACATACATTTTATACCAAAAATAAGTATATTTATTTTTAGTAAATATTCATCTAGTACTATTAAGAATAATATTTATAAAATTTAATACCTTTTTTTCAATATGAAATATCAATATGTAAAGAACCATCCATGTGTAACATGCATGTCGACTCTGTTTTCAAATACTAATTACATTGTTTCCACTCTCGTAATCTTTGCTAATGAGTGAAATATTAGCGCGCTTTCCATCACCAATAGCTTTCGAAAATTAAATTATGCATGTATCGTGTTTAGACTTTCCAAAGATCTTGGAACATGTTCAATATCTTATTAAACTTGACAAAATGACTTTTATCCAAGTTTAGCACATGTCTTTAAAATGACTAAATAGCTAATAACATTTGTTGATACAGTATTGAATGACGCTTCAAGTCAAAATAATTAAATTTAATGTGACCCTTTTGTCACATTAAATTGATAAAACATATGTCTATTCGTTTCAGAGTACAGAAATTGCATCAAAGATGGGTTGTACTACGATCTCTTCTGCATAGACGTCTGGTACAACCTCTCTCTGCGGTTTCCTTCCCTGTGGAGGAACGTGTTGTCACGAAACATCGTACTACCGTCCATGAAACACGATTGGTTGATACCAATCCACACTTCCGCGCGTTACACGATTGCATAGATTGGTGTAAGAGCAAATTGAAGCATCTACAAGAAGCTGATTACGGATCGGACTTGCCTAGTGTGCAAAATGAATTGGATGTACATCAACGAGAGCACAAAAACATCGATCAATTCAAAGCCAAGGTCGACAAGTGCGTGCAAGCAAAGAACAATTTCCATGGCGAGGAACTCACGTTGTATAGTCAGCATCTTAACACTCTGCAGAAACTTTATGCCGAGCTTCTTAACGTATCGAATAAGAGGCTTTCTGATTTGGATACCCTGCACGATTTTATACAATCGGCTACTGGCGAATTGGTTTGGTTGAACGCCAAAGAAGAAACAGAAGTCACGCGCGATTGGAGTGACAAGAACCTCAATGTGCAGAGCATTGAGCAGTATTACGAGGTTAGTCATTATCGAGCATTTCTTTCTTTTTTTTTTTTTTTTTTTTTTTTTTTTTTTAGAGAAGTGATGAAAGTCCATTTTGCGGTTTCTAAGATCTACTGATATATAGTGTAATCATATCTGCGTTATCTTTACAATATGTGATACATGACTCTTATTTAGTTGAATGGGATTAATAAATTGAAATTTTTTTCTTTTTGTGAAGCAAACATATGGATCTGGTGTAGAGGTAAAACATTCAATGAAAATTCTTATATTTTTTATTCTGATCTAATAGTTAATTTTATTAGATATTCTTATTTCAATCTTTAGTTATTATAAACATATTTATGTATTTATAGATTTGAAATTTTTAATAAATTTAATATTTTATATAAATAATAAGATATTTTATTTATTTGTAGTCTTTGATGAGCGATTTGGAGAAACGTGAGATACAATTTTCGGCAGTGCAAGATCGTGGTGAGGCACTTGTTCTTCAGCATCATCCTGCGGCAAAAACGATCGAAGCTTACATGTCCGCTATGCAAACTCAGTGGGCTTGGTTATTACAACTCACTCTCTGTCTTGAAGTACATTTAAGACACGCCGCGCAAAACCAGCAATTTTTCAAAGAAATTCAGCAGGCCGAACAGTGGATCTCCAAACAGGACGAAACGCTGAATACCGTTTACTCGCAATCCGATTTCTCATTGGACGAAGGAGAACGGCTTCTGAAGGGCATGCAAGAGTTGCGCGAGGAGCTTAATAATTATGGTGATCACGTACAGAGACTCGTGGAAAGAGCAAAGGACATCGTTCCTATGAAGCAACGCAAACAACCAGTTATGCGACCGTTACAGGTCACTTGTATCTGCACTTACAAACAAGTCAATGTGAGTATTTCTTAATGTGGAGAAGTAGAATGCACTGCATTTAAATATATATATATTTCTCATTTATTTCATTTGTGTAGATGTCCATCGAAAAAGGAGAACAATGCACGCTGTACGATAATTCCGGCAGAGTTAAATGGCGCGTCAAGAACACGCAGGGAGTGGAATCTCCTGTACCAGGTGTCTGCTTTGCACTGCAACCTCCCGATAAGGAAGCATTGGATGCTGCAGAAAGATTGAGACGACAATATGACAGAAGTGTTGCTCTGTGGCAACGAAAACAATTGAGACTAAGACAAAACATGATATTCGCGACTATTAAGGTAGTCAAGGGTTGGGATCTGCCGCAATTTTTGGCGATGGGACAAGATCAACGTACAGCTATCAGAAAAGCACTGAATGAAGATGCAGATAAGTTACTATCCGAAGGAGATCCGGCGGATCCACAACTCAGGAGATTGAAACGCGAGATGGCGGATGTTAATCGACTGTTTGACGATTTCGAGAAGCGCGCCAGAGCCGAGGAAGAATCGAAAAATGCTGGACGCATTTTCAACGATCAAGCGTCTTCGCTTCAGCAGGCACTCGATGAAGCCGAGCGAGTACTGAACGCGCGCATAGCCGCGCCCTTACCTCGAGATCTTGATAGCTTGGAACATCTCGTATTGCAGCACAAAGACTACGAGCAGAATCTGCAACGCTTGGCGCCAGACGTGGAACAAATGCAACAGACATTCCGCGGAATCACTCTGAAGACTCCGGCGATGAGGAATAAACTTGATAATATCATGAGCAAATGGAGTCACTTGTGGAATCTTAGCAGCTTGTATGTTGAGCGCTTGAAATGTGTTGAAATTGTGCTATCAAGCCTTGAAGAAAATACGACGGCAATCTCTGAGTTTGAGATTAAATTGGCTTCCTTCGGCGAATTACCATCGGACGTAAAGGGTTTGCAAATTGTATTGGAAGATCTGATGGTTCTTCAGAATGCTATCGCACAGCAACAAGTGTCAGTAGATCAATTGAATGAAGATGCGCATAACGCCAGACGTCTTGTAGAGAAATCAAGGCCGAATCATCGAGGTCCGCACGGCGACATGGACAGATTGGACGCTGAGGTTAACAAATTAAACGCGCGATGGACGAATGTCTGTGGGCAGCTGGTCGACAGACTACGCAGTGCCGAAACAGCTTATGGATTGGCACAGCAATATCAAAACTCGTATCAGAATGAGGTGGACTTTGTCGATGAATCATATGGAAAATTAGAGCTGGAAAATACAAAGGTAGCGTGAACGATTTTGACAATTTCATATTACTCTTGTCAATAAGATCGTTAAAATAAATTTTTATGGATTTAGAACTTGTTGAGCAAGGTGTTGGATCGCACGCCGGCAATCGAAGCGGTGAATCTCACGGGCGGTAGATTGATTCGTGAAGGGAAGGTGAGAACACGTGGATCGTAATGTATAATTCGGTGCTAGTAAGCCTTATAGGTAGCCTTAGCTTACGGTGTGAATGCTTGCATGAATGGAATTCTGCGTGTGTCTTACATACAGGTCTCATCACAATCTGTTGTATGCGCCTCGAGATTTTCAGAAATTATGCACGCGACGAATCTTTTTTTCATTTAGCGTTTCGTCGAAGTGGCCGCTTTTTCTGGAGTATCGAGCGAGCAGTAGCAAGACGCATCAAGACGCGTTGCATCTGCTGTATATAAACATGAATGTTCCTTTACAGTCAAATTTGTGCTGCTGTCTTTTTCCACCGTCTTCTCGGGGATGTGTCTCGTCAATTTTATAACGGTAAAAATTCTCTATTTGCGTCCGGGCCCAGTGCCATTAAACGGTATAAACCATCTTAACCGCCATTCATTAAGTAAATATACTCACTTATGTAACACAGCGGGGACGATACGATCTACAGTCAACGCGCATTTGCAATATCACTGGCCTTTCTCTCCTTTTTAACTTCAATAGCAACCTTCTTGTTAACACAGTTACATCAAAAGCACGGTTGAATGAGCTGCACGATCTCGTTTAGCGGCGATTTAGTATCGATTTTTGTAAATGTTAGATATTGCATATCGCTTAAGTGCTTAACATAATATAATTGATATTTTCCCGAACCGTTGCAATCGCAGATAACCCAGTGAGGTATAGCATGCGCAGCAGTGAGGTGGAACCTGACCGATTAATAGGGAAGTTCGCGAAAGTACATAACGAATACTTCTAATTATATTTCAGCATGAATTAGACATATTTCTGCTCTTTACCAATATTAATTACAGCGCGATTTCATTAATCGCTGCTTATCCTTAGCGCGACTATGAAGTAGTCCCGAAATTATTCCAAACACATTTAAATTAACGTACTACCCACGAAAGTAACCGGCAGCTACCATTAACGCATCTGTTTACCGGAAATACCACATTGGGTTGTCGAAAAATCAGAAAAATCACGGCGTAAATCGCGCGGTAACATCGCGCGCGATGGTCTCAGCGCCTCGTCTCTCGCTGTCGCTTTCGGAATCGCTAACGGTAATTGCCGCACACACATACACCGATCTAATTACACTAACCATAACGGACTAACCGGAAACCCTTAGATCTACGGACAAAGGCTCCGAGCGTTCAAAGAACAATTGGAAGATATCTGCCCGTCGTTGGACGCATCGGTGAAGAGGCCACGAAGAGATTCCGTTATTACAGTCGATAATGTTGCGCGCGATCTAGATATCCTGAACCGAAGATACACGACCCTCGTGAATCTGCTTGAGGAGCGAGTCAGGCAGTTGGCATTACTACATCCTGAGGACACTTCCTTACAGGTGAGTTTTTGCATTGTTTTTCTTCTGTGATCTTAAGATTGCACCTCTGATAGTAGACTGTATGATATGTTTCTAGAAATAAATATGAGCAATATCTTGGATTCTTTGGTAGAAGAAAAATAACAATTTTTCCTTAAGGCTTCTGTTTACTCACTATCTCAGATTATGACATCATAATCGAGAAAATATACAATAAAAGTTCTTGCAAGTTATAATACGTATAATATATATATAAATTACATAATGTGGAATTATATAATGTGGAAATAAATTATGCATAAACAAAAACAAAATAAGTTATGTTTACAAGTTATGTTTGTGACTTAAAATAATGATATATAAAGAAACAAATATAATTTAATTTTTCGGAATAAGAAGGTAATTTTCATATTTTAGAAATCTATTCTATTGATTGCAAGTATTGTTTTATTCGAAAATATTTTTATTCAAATATTATTTGCAAAAATTTTTATTGCGTGTTTTCTCACATTTGATGTCACAATCTAGGATAATAATGATGAGTGAATAAGAGCCTTAATACGTCGTTTGATATTTTTTTTTAGAAATTTCCATTCGTTACATAAAATAAATTATTCATTGAATAATTTGAAGTTGTTCTTCAGGAGAATTCATTGAATAATTTGAAGTTGTTCTTCAGAAGAATATACCATAAACCGACATATGTAATTTTTCAATCACTTATTGAGCAACTGAGGCAACTTAAAGGGCCGCAGGCGAAATGCCGCCGGATATTTTAGATTAGATTTAACCTTCGCTACGTGTGCTGTGTTGAAATGTGAACGGAATTAATACCGAACTATGGCAAGGCTTACAATTTGCATTGCTGATGGGCATACATCGAGAATTCGCGAAGTGAATCCGCTATTAATCCTTGATCGTAACACTTTGATGTTTGGTGAACGGCTCATCATCGCGCGATAACGAATTAGAATCATTTCTAATCACGCGAAGGTGATTTACTACGTCAAAGTTGCTCGGGATACGAATTTCGCATCGATCCTCGCACACAGTAAGAGAGGATGTTAATTTTCATTAGTAATGAAGTAGTAACGATGTTAACGTTAAATATGGCGTATGTTTTTCTATTATATGCGTATACAAGTAAAACACTTTTTTTAAAATAGAAGCTAATATATGAAATAAATACATTGAAATAAATATTACTGAAAGGTATATATACATATATATAAACATCTCATTGAGAGTTATGTGAAATAAATTTATGAGATAAATGTATGAAATATATTTACCTCAAAATAAGATAAATTTGAAATAAATTTGAGATAAATATATGAAATAAATATTGCTCATTTGCTACAACATTAACACAACTCAAAAAACGAAAATAAATTTGAATATTTTGAATCATTAAAATTTTGTAATATTAATTTTGAAATGCAATTTTGATGTAATAATTAATTATAGAAGAATAAAATTATGTTTTTCCTTTTTCCTTTATATTCCTTTATATTCTTTTTCTACAAAAAATTCAAATTGACAATTTCTGAGTTGTATCATAACTTACATCCATTTTTTATCAATGAACAGATTAACTTTAATCTTAGAATTTATTCTTTATCTTTTTCTAATTCTTAAAATTGGGGAAAAAGATAAAGAACAAGTTAATGAGATTAAAGTTAATCTACATTTGGTAGAAATAAATATGAGCAATATATGTATACATGAAATAAATGAAAGTAAAAGTGCGTTCAGTTTTCAACATGCTCCCCGAAGGATTTATTGCATGTGACAAATTCGATTGAAAGGCACGCGTGTGGGCTTTTTGATACAAAACTAGGGAGGCGTATCCTCCGAGAAATGACTCGATCGAGATTGTCCTCGGCCTCGACAACCGCGTATATAAGCTGAAATTAATGAGCGGCAATGAACGAGCGCTCTCATATCGAGAATCCGTATGTGTGCCCACATCTCCCGCAGGTATAATTATATTCGGAATGACGACGACATCAGAAATAGCGACTATTTTTCTCGGTACCATTACGCGCCTCGCCCCTCATCGCGTATGAGCCGGAAGGTGTGAATACATTTTTTTTGTTGATTTTTTTTTATTGCAACCGGTTCACGTGCGTTCGTCATCGTTGTCGAGATTGTTCGCTATCACGTTTGTCACGCTGATACTTCGAGGTCAGTCGGGATCAAGTGAAATAGTCGTTTTAATACGCGACCGACTTTCGCCTTCGATTAACAACGGCTTTTCATCTTTCCCGCTAGTCGTGCCGGTCTCGTGCGAGGATCGATAGACACGAAGACAACGGCACGAAAAAGCAGTGGCGTTTACACCTGTTGAGGCCCCTCAATGTATTGGATGATTATGTTAATTTAAGCTGAAAAATGAAAATGAATACACGTATATTAGGCCCGTATCAGAGATTGAAATTGAGATTAGTTTGGAATAATAAGTAATTAATCCCTTTCTTTCAGTATTAAATTCTTTCAGTATTGATTAATATTGGATTTCTGTAAAAGCAGAGTTTGCGGATTTTATTCTCACAATTTTTTTCTTAATATCTTCTCGTCGCGTTATTTTTTTTAATATCTTGCTTTGACAATTAAAATTTTCAATTTTGATTTGCAATAAAGCAGTTAGAAAACATAATACAAATAAATTGCAAACTTCTGTTGTGATGAATTGAACGAGAGATAAGATCTTGGGAATATCCTTGATTTTTAACGCATCGTTTATCATCGCGATATAAACAGTGTATTTACGATTCCGAGGAGCACTCGTGTGTGACCAGAAATATTAAACGAGCTACGAACGACTCGCGTCAGATAGCAATTGCCGAAAATGCAAAATAGATTTCTCCTCGAAAGTGAAATGAAGCTGAGTTCGAGATTACGTAATCAAAATTAATGACGGCCGTTTAGAAATCCACTCGTTGAATCGAGCGAGGTCGATTTTTGACAACTCGAGAGGAGAGTCCCGGGGTCTTAGAACAGCTTGAACGAATTGCCAGTTAAGCGCCCACGCTTAAACGCGCCACTGGATCGAGATGTGCGTCGGCGCCACCACTCGCGTCTCCTCCGAGGGCCAGCGTCATCGAAAAAGAGAGAGACGAGTCACTGCAGTCAGAGACTGTTGGTTGCGCGGCTGACCGTATGCTCGTCGAGCATGCTCTTCGCCGGTCGCGCAAACGATTAGAGACGTCGTTGTCGTGAGCGATAGGAACGCGAAAGCGATTTCGTTCCGACGTGCTCTGATGAGCGATCACGATGGTCGTGCGAAAGGTACGAAAGGCCGACGCATATCGCGAAGGGACGGGCGTCGCGTGCTTCGGAAACGAGATACACCGGTACCCGTCAGTAAAATCGGATACCGGCGATATCCGATTTTCAAACGTGTCAGAAGCAAGTGACAAATTGACAAGAGGTTGATTATGAAATAATTTTGTCGCAGCAAGATGTGCGTTCTTGAGGATGACGCCCATAGGGTGTCGATCGAGTCACATGTTGGCAGCAACAATCGTGAAACTGCACGTTGACTTTTGTCCATTTCTACCAATCTAGATTAATTATAATTTCGATTTTATACATTTTATCTTTTTCTTATTTTTGAATAAAGATACAAAGTTAAATCGAGATTAAAGTTAATCTAAAGAATAAATATTTATCGCATTCGCGATTTTAATAAGTGGAAACCACGGAATGAAGTTCTTAAGTCTATTTTGTTATTTGAGTATTATTTAATTATTTGATGAGTTTTTGTAATTATTGTAAAATTTGACGAGATCTTGGAGCTGTTAGTTAACATATGCCAAAATGAGTTGAAGTGTAATCATGTGTGTTTCTTGCGTTCTGTGATCCTCAAAGAGGTAACGGATTAGCTGCAGATTCTCTACAAACTTAATCTGTCCAGAACTTGACACGTTTGAAATCATTTTTTATTGAATAACATGTTTTATAATTTACATTCATATCATAAATGCGTTTTTTTAATAATAAATTTTTATAATAAATTTTTTTAATAAAGACGAGAGAGAGAGAGAGAGAGAGAGAGAGAGAGAGAAAGGGTAATATTTTTTAAATTCTGAATAATATAACTTTCTTGTCATTCAAATGTATTCATACCAAGAATAATATCAAGATTATGTTTAAGGAATTCTTTGACGAACATTACTTATCCTTTACTCATCCTTTACGATGCTCTAAGTATCTGGCGATATTTTTGATCATTCTATTTCCGTTAAAAATAATCGAAAGCCACTTGCTTAATTCAAATATTCGAACGTGCATTCGAATAAATGAATATCTCGTGATCGATGTTTATTATGACCACTAATATCTATTACTTTATTGTTGACATTCAAATTTATGAACTTATATATGCTACTTTATTGCCGACTTCTATATTCGCGCTCGGATTTCAATGCGTAGTGCAAATCTACTTTTATTTAATAAAATGAATCACCAGAGAGTTATAAATTTTTATTTATCTCGGCATATACATTACAGATTGAATGCTAAGTGATTCGTTCTTACTTCGAAATTAAGTGAGAACAGAAATATTTGACAATATGAAATAAAATATCTTTAAATATATTTAAGATTAATTTTTATTCGTATGTATATATATATATATATTAATATATAGATATATGTGTATTAATTCTTACATACAGAATGCAATGTTCGCCAAACTTTTCATGATCATTCAACTCGGCCGTTTCTGATATACGTTTCTTATATGCTCTTATCAGTTCACCGTTGTACAACGCGATTGATTAGGTACACCGTTCAGACAAAGTAAATATCGTACACTCATATTTCTTATCGATAGTGCAATTTTATTAAAACTCGAGTTTTGTAATCAAAAATGTCTACACGAATTAAACATATGTTTGGATTGCGTACATTTGCACTGCCTTATACTGCCTTATACATTGTCATTTTTTCGTATCTTGGCGTTTTTAAAGTCGACGTGCCTAATAGCGGATTCTTATTTTAACGCATGTACAGAGTGACCCAGAAACAGTTCGATATATTTAAGA